CGACTTTGAAAAGTTATGTAACAATGCAACCAATGCAACATGGCCTTACCAATTGGTTAATTCGAGTGATTCGTGGAGAGTGGACATCAAATAAAGGGAGATAATTGGTGCAACCGACAGAGAAGCACACCACAGCAGAAATGCAGAAATGTTTACAGAAATATGTTAAATGTTTCTGTATGCATTGTATAATGATAATTTTAGATGTTTGTTACTAACATGGAAACGTTGGTTGATTGGTTTTTCATCTCTCTAAAAAATATGAGACAGGAATACACGTTTACTCGCTATAGATTTTCTGTGCAACCTTTAACCAAGAGTGCTTACTATCAATTCAAACTGACGGACCTCAACCTTTTTAGTCCTTGACAGAAAATTTACTGTTATTTCCATTGTTGTGTGTCTTTTCGCCAACTCCGTACACTCCTTCAATAGATTAAGAACAAAGTTAACCTAATACATCCACGCTTCCTTCCTATCGTAATATTTGGTATCTATAATATAATTTTCTTCATAAATAATGTCTGGTACGTGTCCATACAAAGAATTGTATTATCTACGCTAGATATAGTTGCTCTTCGCGAACATAGCAATTATGCATATGGCTTTTGTTTCGCTTTAACCTTTCCTCGATGTTCTATGCGACATCTGAGTTACATCTTGCATCTGCTACATGTTTTAAAATAATAATAAGGAACACAGTTTCTAACGCATGTAATAATAACAAACACGTTTTGGATGTTGCAAAAGAAACGCCTTTAGATTTATAACATCTTTATTGACCAGCCCACTATTTCTGACGTTAACATGATTTACCATTTGACTTATTTATATCCCTATTTTACTAGAAAATTCCGCTAGTGCCACGGGTTCGAAAGTAAGTGGTCATTACAAATCTCGAGTGCTTTCCAAACCATAGTATTGTATGATTGAACAAACATTAATCGAATAACCACTTATTACCTATCATAGCTTAGCGTTATCCGAAAAAAACTTCAAGGATATGTCGGTTTCGCTAACCTTCCAAACCAGGTCCATAGGAAATCGGTGAAAAAAGGATTTCACTTCACGATGATGATAGTCGGTATGTAGTATTCCGATGTTATTGTTCTCTGACAGGAAAATGTAATTAACATATTTCTTTATTTTTTTCTAGGTGAATCTGGTCTAGGCAAGTCAACCCTTGTTAACACGTTGTTCGGTACAACCCTTTACCCTAATAAAACCGATGCCGAACCATCCGATGAAACGCCAAATACTGTAGAAATCCAATCTCTTAGCGCAGGTTAGCTTCTACCTTTCTCCATTTTTTTTAAAAAGAAGATACCATTCTGCACGGATTCTCACATTCCTTCTTTTCAATAGATATTGAAGAAAATGGAGTTAAACTGAGGCTTACGGTTGTAGATACTCCTGGATTCGGCGACTTTGTTAACAACGAGGAAAGGTAAATATTGAATAGTGCAGCGAAAATTCTAAACGCCCGTATTGTGTTACTCGAATCTCATTCTATCCTCTTATTGATTAGCTGGAAGCCAATTCTCGAAAACATCGAAGCCCGCTTTGACGCATACCTCGAGCAAGAAAACCGTGTGAATCGCCGTAAGATGGTTGATAACCGTGTACACGCGTGCATTTATTTCATTGCTCCTACCGGCCATTCGTAAGAGTCAATTATCTTAATTATTTTTTTTGTGTGTTCTTAATAAAACATGATGATAACCTTAATGACTTTTGCTTAGTCTCAAGCCCTTGGACGTTGAATTTATGAGACGGTTACACACCAAAGTTAACCTTATCCCCGTCATTGCCAAGTCCGATACATTAACCGAAGATGAAATTAAACAATTCAAACAACGCATTCTAGACGATATTGCCTACCACAAGATTCAAATCTATCAGGCCCCACAATATGAATATGACGATGAAGAAACAGTAGCTGAAAACCGTGAAATAATAGTAAGTTGAATGGAGAATTATGGGTTTCTAATTACACTCCAAGTATTAACGATCTTTTTACTTTTTTTGTTAATAACAGAGCAAAATTCCATTCGCAATTGTCGGTAGTGATAAGGAAGTAGAGCTTCCCGATGGTCGCCGCGTTCGTGGACGTAAATACCCATGGGGTGTTATTGAAGTTGACAATGAAGAACACAACGACTTTGTCAAACTTCGACAAATGTTAATTCGGTATGCATTTTTTTAATGCTTTATGTATCTCTCAATCATCTATAATCACATACACATTTAATTCTTACTGGTTTTTTTTTTTTTCAGAACTCACATGGAAGAGCTCAAAGAATATACCAATGATGTTCTCTATGAGAACTATCGTTCCGAGAAACTTATCACCATGGGAGTACAGCAAGACCAAACTGTATTCAGAGAAGTGAACCCACTTGCTAAGATGGAAGAAGAACGTCTTTTACACGAGGCAAAATTACAAAAGATGGAGACAGAAATGAAGATGGTATTCCAACAAAAAGTCCAGGAAAAGGAGGCCAAATTGAAACAATCTGAAGACGAATTATACGCTCGTCACAAGGAAATGAAAGATGCTCTGGAGAAACAACGCCTGGAATTGGAGGAAAAGAAGAAACGATTGGAATCGGGAAGACCGATTACTCCCGAAAAAGGAAAGAAGAAGGGTGGTTTCTCATTTAACAAATAAATGAATGAAATTGTGTAATTTTTTGTTGACTTTTCATTAATAGAATCACTTTCGATTATATACTTGTTGGGTATTCGACTTGAGATTGGGAATATATTTCTGATGACAAAATGAAAAAAAATATATTTATGTTAAAAATAGTTGGTTATACATTAACGCTGGTAGTTTTAGTTAGATTTATTTTCTATATTATTTAATACGTATTTACAAGCGATAGCTGCCATAATTTCTGTTTATTTTTTGTAATTCGTGGGTTAATAAACCACAACCTGATTATATTCACTTATTTTATTCTCCTGATATTACTACAATAAATGTTTTACAAAAATTATTATTATTATATACTTTACACGGTAGCGAGATTAACATTAGTTAGATACAAAGAGCTATAATAACTATAATTATTAATTACTGTATAGGACATTTTTCATGGTACGAACACGAAATTCTTAACTAAAATCCGCTGTTTTAAATCTCTTAACTTTCTTATTTGCCAAGTCTAAACCATGTTAATTTCATGACTGTATAACATGCATATCCATCAACAGAATCTTACGATCATGTTTGTATCTGCAAAACTGATCATTCAGGAAGAGAATACCTCTACCGATATATAGTACGAAATCCATTACGTCGCGGCAAAGAATCCAAGTTTTCCTACCCGACTATTTCGTACCATCAGTTCCTCCTCCTTATGAAGAATCTTGTCCAAATTGATTATTAGATTCTGACCCAATGATCTTCCCGTCTAAATTGAATTCTTACTTGGTCAATAATGCAATTTTTCAATTTTTCATTTAAAAAAAAGAATAAGGACACGCATCAAATTGTACCTGAATCATTTCATTCAAAAGACTGTGTTCAATGCTGCCGCCTCCACTCTTTTGTATGCCACACACCTTTCCACTCTTGCTAACCATCACATGTAATTTTGCTTCAGTAGTGAGCTCTTCCAATGGTGTCGCATCAACGACATGACGCGATCCAATCTTAAATTTAGATTTGATACACGAAAAAAAATTTTTTAACTCAAATTGGCAACGCCAAGACAGTAAATTTTCCAAAAATTCACCTTGTTCAAGGTAATAGATACTGGTACTTGTTCCCACCCTTCAATTCTTTCCCATTCTTCGTCATCACCAGAAATCTCGACCTCCTTGTCTTCGGACACGGTGGTCTTTGGAACTCGTGTATTAAAGAGGGCCGCACGTATGGTCATAAATATTGTATCCAAAATATTTCCGGCATAATCCAACACCTAAAAAAGATATGAGAAGTCAAAAAAAATGCGCATACGTAGTACAACAAAAATGTAAACTTACGAGCGCGTCAATATAAACAACCCAGCATTCCTCTCCCGGCAGTATGCATAATTTTTCGAGGTCAAGACCACCATGTGGTCCATTCAGTACGCGATCTACCGTTTGCGTTAGTTCATTATTGAAATCATCAGCACCTCTACCAGCGAATTGCTGTGACGCGATAGGAGAACTAAGAGAAACAAAAATTATGACATGAAATTAAGGTAAAGCTATTCATTCGTACAACATACCATTCTACATTGCAGACCACCCTTCCTCTCTTTGCTTTTATAGCTGCTACTTCCTCGTCAGCTCCGTCTATTTCTATACTTCCAATTTCGACTTTCACTCCAACAAGCACGTCAGTGCCTTCTCCTAACCTACATCTAGCACTCCCATTAGCTTGAGAGATCACTCCCGTTTCTATTATCACCTCCCGATAATCAAGGCATCCTCTTCCATCTGCGCGAAGGTT